CTGGAATTTATGATTTTTTATTTATATTCGATTATATGGATGTTTTATATGGAGAACAATATATGATTTTGAATTATGCCCCATTGTATGAGATTGAGAGTTAATGATACAAATGACATGTCATCAGGTGGAGTGATTACTGATTATTGTTCACTGATTACTGATACTGACACTATAAGTGCACTATGGGTTCACGATGTTATGACATTGTAAAATCCATATCGGATTTCTGGTACAGTGATGTTGTGTTTTACAGTACATGTACATTACTGTTATTGTCATTGGAAGTGCAAACTGATATTGATAATAAAACTGAAAAAAAGGCGCACACTCGTTTTCTGACTCGCGTACCATATATTCTCATGATGATACAGTGGGCAATAATACGAACTGAAGTAGAGTAGTACACAATTAATTTTTCACAGTACTGTTGACTGTCAGACTGTTTAAGTAAAACTTCTATTATGAGTTTTGAAATGATAGTTAAATTTATATCTGCTAGTATATACAAATAATTTTATTTATAGCAATTGAATTTTTACATGTTTAATTTTAATAAATATTTTTTATGATATCAATTGTTCTATATATGTTAAGTTTTATTTATATTATTATGTTGCCTCACTAAGTGAAAATTTACCGTGTGATTGGTTCACACGTAGGTATTAAGCTAGCGAGCAAGGTAAAACGCATATCAGCGTCATTCCGGGGAAATCAAGTCCGACACCAGAATCAGTAAGGACATCATGTTTTGTTGTATTTATAGTTAATGTCTTGTATAATAATGATGTCTAATATTTATATTAGTTATATAACAGTTGTGACATAATATCTAAAATTGTTTTCAAATATAAAGTATTAAGTATTATAAATAATATATATGAATAATACAATATTAAATTATGTTTTTAAATATTACATTATGGTTTTATGTGATTATTAGTTTTAAAAATAAATAAATTCATTTTAAGATTTTAAAGCAACAAAATTTTATTGGTTTTCAAATATAAAATATTTTTATATGATTGGTATGACATCTTTAAGGGTGTTACATATTGCGTTTATGAAACAGATTTTCGAGAATCAATATGATGACTTATTTCAAGCAACTAGACGTCTATATGCTTACATGTATAGCAAAGGATTCTGGACGCTCTCTTGAGATAAAAAGGGAATTGAAACAGAGGCATCTACAGATTAAGTATTGTAGAGGATCTCGACATCGCTGAAAAGGCAATAGAGAAAACAATAACATATTGATGCTTGGAATGGGGAATAGGTAAATTCCTGTAATTGTAGCGGTGGTATATATATCACCACTTTGGTCTAAATTAACGAATGAACGGATGTAGACATCTCAATGCTTAAACGTGTTGTGAAGAATCCTTAATTCTTAAATTGGGAAGAGTTGTTTCAATTCCTATACATCCAGCAGAGAGTTGGCGGCCCTATTTTGGGATAATTGTAAATGGGCATAGGTATATATATATTGCTAAACATATTGTGGAGGACCTCTTTGTTTAATCTCTATTAGCTAAGACAAAGACGTCTTGATGCTCATTGTAACAACGGAGAAATTCTTGTTGCTAAGCGGAGGCATCTGAGACTTTTGAGCGAAACCCACAAAGCGGAGGCAGCTAGAGTATGGGGCAACTCCTTCCCTGTATGAGCTATGCTGACGCTTCCAAGTGGAGACTTCTCTACTCCTTATGAAGTTGTAATGGAGTAATTACTATTATCAAGGCGGAGACTTCTCTAAAGAAAATTATAAATTCAACATGAGTTCAAAAAATTATACTCCATTCCACCACCCACAGTGAATTTAATTTTTGTCCCCATCCCACCACCTAATTGGATTCGAAGTGAGACGGATCCCTGTGAAACCCGCCCCACTGAATTTTCCATTATATATTATTCTAGTGAACGAAAGGAAATCTAAAGTGCGTTCATGTTATTGAATTACTCCATTCTTTGCAGACTGTTTATTCAATTACATGTATATGGAGTTTATTTATATAACCGAATCTGAAGGATTTGAGAAACATTGAACAGTAGGAACCCAGGGTTTGGTATAACCTTGATTTTTATTTGAACAAATTATAGTCTTACAAGGCCACATAATGGATCATACCAACTGATAGAAAATGTTGCGAACCCAAATCTTGGAAGCACTTGTGTTCTGGTTGAGACCAATCAGTTACTTTGTTTTGCCTTGTGTTGCTGCACCAACATCTTGTTTCAGTAGATTCACAGCATTCTTAAATTCAGTGAACTCTTCTTCATAGAAACTTGGTGGAATTGTCGTGTGTTGAATCTCCTTGAAGTCTTTCCAGTAGCTTCGGGCTTCTTCCTCTTTTTGGTCCATCAAGGAAATTATAGCCTAGCAATTTCATATTCACAACCACAGGTGTGTCGCTTAAATTTAAGACTTAATGGAAGTATAAGGGTATAAATTATTATTTCTTACTTTAGGCATATAAAGTATTTTTCATTTATAGTTGTCTAATGTTTCCAAGATTACTATTTTAAATGTCTAGCTCATCACCATCGTTAAAAACAATGTTATCCATTTAAAATACAACACATGTCGTATTTTTATTTTTTGAAATTTTTATTTTTAAAAAATTTAATAATATTATTTTTTCCCGAAAAAAAAAACCATTTTTTCTTAAGTCTCAAATTCTTAAAATCCCTAATTTCAAACCCCTTACTATCGTCAAAGGTCACCGTTATCATCTTCGAGAGACCATACACCCATGGTCATCTATTCATTGACCATTCATCTACTCTAAATCTCTAAATATTTAGAATCCCTAATTCTAGACCCAAATCCATGTACCTTACCCGTTGCCCATTACCATAGTCCTTTCTCCTTTGCAAACCAAAATGCCCAACAAATTAAGACCCACCCAGTACCCTCTTTCGGCAAATTTAAATCTCGACTCCCACCTACAAATTAAAATCCCCACTGCAAATTAAAATCGACAACGAATTACTGGCTAATGGAGAGAACGATAGTAACACTAGCCGGTGAAGATAATAGACCTTAGGAATTAGGAAATTTAGGTGTTTTGGAGTTTTTTCTTCTTCTGTATTTTAGAGAAAATTTGAATTTTTAATAATAATAATAATTCTAAGTTCTCTAAAATAAAATTTTTAAATATCTATAAACACGTAAGAGCCATGTGTTAAATAGTTGATGACTTTTTTTTAACTAAATACTTAAAATGATAATTTCGAAAACGTTAAACACACTTATCTTTAACAGAAAATACTTTACAACATCTAAAATGAACTAAAGATATAATATGGACTTTGTATACACATTTTTTTTTTCAATAAGCCTAATTTTAAATTTTTAAGATTTGGAAACTATAACTTGAATTCTGGTTGGGGTATCGGATATGAGATGAGAATGTTAAAATTATTTATGCCCTTGAAAGCTCTTATCGTAATATAAATGTCAGTTATGCATCGGACATAAGCATTTTTATCACCTTATAAAGAAGACGGCGTGCATCAGAAACCCCTTCATCTTCTCTTAAGCAGTTGCAGTCCAAAGCCTTTTGAAGGTCGCCCTACACAGAAATTTAAAATCAAACTAGTTGGTCATTTCAATGGCAGATAGTTCCATATGCTATAATTTAGAATTGAAGTCGATAAATTTAAGGGAAGAAACCTTGTAGATGTACAGTTCTGCAAGCAACATTTCAATCTCATAAGCTTCATGTGATTTGCCTTCCTTCCGAGCCTTTTCCAATGCTTTCTTAAGCACTTCCATTGCTTCATCTTCTCTTCTGCTCATTTCCAGCCTCCCAAGAACACGCTTTCCGATCGAATGCAGACAACAAAATTTTAATTTCACATTTCACATGAAATTCATAACCATGAAATTAGTGAAATTGTACAAGTTTTTTCAAACCTGAACTTCTTTGAAGCGAGGGTGTTCAGCTCCAAGTAAATCCTTCAGTTGTTGAATATCAGCCTCTACGTTCGTTGGCTTCCCCCATGATTGTAATAATCAACCAGTCTCTCGAAAGCGAATTGACCTCCATGGAGGGCTGCAAACGACATCGACCTTGCGAGATTCGGCTTCGGTTTCCAATTCCATACACGACTCACGTATCGCCATCCGAAACCGATGCAAATACCACCGATGACAATAAAGGGTGTGGCTGTCACTGCTATTGTTCCATATTTGTTCTCTGAATTGATCTTTTGAGCCGAGTTTGCCATAAGAGACCTTAATGTTATATATCAAAGATGAAAGGGGTATTTGAAAAGAGCTGCATAAAAATGGGGCCATTAAAGGTGGTCAAATAATCAAATTATATTGATTTCTAGCTTGCTTGATAGGCAAAGACAATCCTCTACATAGTCTAGTAGTCATCATATTCCTTACCCGTTTCTTAAAAAAATGAAAGAAAAACTTGGGTAAACAACGCATTTAGTCATCCAACTATCTGTACGGTTTCGTTTAGGTTACTCAATTATTTTTTAAATTATACGTAATATTAACTTTTGATTTCATTTTGATAACCGCTATTAAAAAATTAATAGAATTGTTGATATTATATTTTTTTTTATTTTTTTCTCAATGATGGCATGGTATTAACTTGAGGTGACATCAATATCATCATTAAATTTTTAACTGTGGGTGACCAAAATGAAACTAAAACATAATATTAGGCATAATTTTGAAAAACAAATAATTAGGTGACCAAAATGGAACCATGTGAATAATTGGATGATTAAATACATAGTTTATCCTAGAAACTTTTATATTGGCTGATGCCTTGCCAGTAAACAAAGGTTACTTCCCTGTAAAGCAATAAACTGATGCCTTTCTTGACAACATTGAAAGATTGGATATTGGAGTTTTGAGTGTTTTCTCTTCTTTATTTAGGAATTGTTCTCCAAACCAATGACCTTGCATTAATAGTTAAAGATTTCAATCAATAAAAAAAAAAGTATTCTAATTTCATTCCTCCCAGATTACATCAATTTCTTCATGGAGGCTGCAGTTTGTCCTGGCTATGGACCTATGCCGATCATTTCCCTCCGAGTGCCTCTCCGCACAATCCCGAAACTTCATTTCGGGTTTAACCGTTCTTTTTCGGTTTCGACTGGTTTCATGATGAACCGCAGGCCTTGTCATCGGTTCTATACTCCAGGACCTCTTGCACTCGACAGGTCTAACTCATCAATGCCTTCCGAAAACGAAAAAGGCTGTGCCAAAGTTGTTCGAGGGGCAGTTGGGGTGTCTCTTTCTTTAGCTTGCGCTCTAAGCATCATCGGCTGCGGCTGTAAGAAGAACTTCAAAGCTATGGCCGGTCCAAAGCAACAGATTTATCAGAAAGCTCCATCTTTCCAGCAAATTACTCCTCCGGCGCCAAGGAAAATGGCACTCAAGTCATTGCTGGACGTGACAGTGAGCCTTTCTTCAAGAGAGGGAAGAAGGATGAGGGACGTCAATCCGGGGTCGCATTTCTCCGGTCCAAGGCATTCAGCTCCATCAAAGGATCAAATTGATCAACTCAAGGTTCACTCCTTTACATACTTTGTTCAAGTTTCACTTGTTAAGCACTTTTAAGCTCATTGTAGGTTAATTTTGTAGAAAGAGGCCGTGAGCCTAATGAAATGGGGGATGCCTGAAGAAGCACTGTACATGTTGAAGAATGAATACAAGAAATATGAAATGTCGGAACCTGAGTCCGCTTATTACATGAACATGGTACTAGTGGAAATTATGATCAGTCAGGTAATTTCCCAACACTTTTTCAGAAACTGGATTAAAAATTCTTGTGTTCTTGTTTGTTTTCCTTGATAATGTGTGATTAATATCTGCAAACAGGGAAAATACGAAGAAGCTTACGAGTTTATGAGTAGTCATGATCAAAAAATTTCAGATTTCGATGTTCGGCCTACTCTTTATAAGGTTCGGTACACCCATCTAGTAGGATATTTAATTATCTGATTCAATAGATCAAACCAATCGAACCAATGATTCGATTGTCGCGATAATTTGATTTCTGATCCGATTTTTATTCTTCGTTGACTAGTTTCTAGAATTTTCGAAATCATAACCTTCAGGATATATCTACAGGCTATTCTATGCACCATGTTAGATAAAGATGAGGAAGCACAGAATTTATGGGAAGATTTTGCGAGTTCCTTTGGCTTCTAATTTCCACAACAAAGCTTACAAGTTATGTAATCCAAAAACCCCCGGGGGGGGGGGGGAACTCATCAAGTTAAAGAATATATCATGTATTTCAGCATTGAAGGCGATGATTGCTTATATGATATACGGGGCGAACCCATGATTTTCAAGTTAAATAATATATCATGTTAGAATTTTTTTCTTTTAAAGAGGTTAATATTGTGTGAAATTTTATTCATACTTTATTCAATCAAATAACAAAATAATATCTCAGATTCAACCTACAACCAATTCTAAATTAAATCTCACATCAATCTCTATTTTACTTAGGAATCTTAAATGACAAAAGGTAATAATTTTGATTTTTAGCATAATCACTAACGTGGAAACAATTATTCAAATCTTTTAAAAACATATAATTTGTATATTCTTCTCCTATTAAACAATGTTTAGTGATAAAAAGTTTTACTATGGTGAATAATGTTGAACAATTTAGAAGCTCTAAACACACTAGAAGAAATGACACTTGAAGAAAGGAAGACTTAATCAATCCACCTTGATATATACATGAAGAAGAGTCTTAGCATATTATGATACATTGCTAATACTTGTTCCAGTACAGTGCCCATGCAAAAACCAACTGGTGATAGCTTCACCACGGTTGTAGCAGCTTCTCACAATTTCCATGCTATGTTAAAAAGGAGCGAAATGGGTATTTTTAAACCTAAGCCATTTTTTTGAAAGTGTGACAAGTCTCATGGAGGACATTGAGCCAATTACTGTTGGTCAAGCTTTAGCATATCCTCATTGGAAGAAAGTTGTTTTAACTTAATATAAAGCACTATTACAAAATGGTATGTGGGAGTTGGTATCGTTAACTGAGGGACACACGAATATTGGAAGCAAATGGCTATTCAAAACTAAACGAAATTCAAATGGTACCATGGCTCGATATAAGGCTTGGCTGGTAGCAAAGGGGTTCTCTCAAGTTCAAGGTTTCAATTTTTGTGGTACGTTTAGCTCGATTATGAAGGCGTCCATAGTGAACGTGGTTCTCTATCTAGAAGTGATGAACATGTGGAACTTGCTCCAAGTTAATCTAAAAAATTGTTTTCCTCAACGAGGAGCTGAGTGAAGAGGTGCTCATGGTACAACCTCCTAGATTTGAAAAGTTCACACTTGATGGGACACGACTTGTGTGTATGCACAGGAAGGCCTTTTATGGCTTACGATAAGCGCCAAAGACTTGGTACTCAAAGCTCCAACAATTCTTTCTTGATGTTGGATTTAAAGGGTTGTCCACAAAATCCTCCCTCTTCATTCATAATAATGGTGGGGCTTTTGTCTTAGGGTACGTTGATAACGTAATTGTCACATAAGAGTTAGATGTTGTCATTGAAGAGATTGTTCGTGTGTTAGGAACAAAATTTTCCTTGAAGGGTCTGGGTGAACTAAGTTAATTTTTGGGAATTGAAGTCCAATGAGTGAAAGGAAAATTAGTGTTGAGACAACAAAATTTCATAAAAGAGTTTCTAGTGAAGACCAACATAAGTGGTGTCAAACCAACGCCAACATCTAAGGTAATGTTGTTGAAAATTCAATATTAGTCTAAATAAGTTCACACCTAAATTAATTTGATGTCATTGCTTACATCAATTTAGTTTTGATGTCATTGTTTACATCAATTTAGTTAGGTGAAAATTAAGTATTTTTCTCATGTTTTAATTTCAATGGTTTAGATTATTTAGTGATTATTTTAATGAGTGGTTTAGATTGTTTCTTGTAACCTATATATATACCCTACTTGTATTTGAGTTTTATCATCCAACAATCAAAGCTTAATTATAAGCATTTGAAAGCTTTCTTAAGAGTTATTCCCTTTTGCAATTTTTGTGAGATTATTCTAAAGAGAGTTTTTCTTCTTCTCGATCAATTAGAGATTTTACTGCCATGGCCAAGCAAATGGGAGGAGTCTCGCTGAAGGGTGAAGAGGAAGCGCTCTACACCAACAAAAACAAAGGCACTTTTCAGCAGTATACTGCCAGTGGATCTAAAAAGGATGGTGACAAGGAGAAAAATTACCAAGGAAATGGAGGCCCTCATTCAGGGGGAGCATCCAAGAATCGCGGTAATAGTAGAAAGTTCGATGGCAAGTGTTACAACTGCGGGAAGATGGGTCACATGGCAAAAGACTGTTGGACCAAGAAAAAGCATGTTGAAAGTAATATTGCTACTTCCAGTTCGAAGGAGAATAGTGAAGATGGTTGGGGTGCTGAAGCATTATTTGCTACGGAGGAAGAAGAATTAGCTCTCACGGTAACAACACCAGAACAAATTGACTACAAGAATGATTGGATCGTAGATTCGGGCTGCTCAAATCATATGACGGGTGTCAACCAGAAGTTGCAAAACATGTATGAGTATAATGGAGGTCGTGTGGTGGTGACAGCTGACAACTCAAGGTTACCAATAACTTACATCGGTAAGACGATAGTTATGCCTCGATATAATACTAACCAGGTGCAACTTCAAGATGTTTACCATGTCCCAAGAATGAAGAAAAATTTGTTATCTCTGGCTCAACTAACATCATTAGGCCATTATGTCTTATTTGGTCCCCAAGACGTGAAGGTTTATCGTGACGTCAAAATCTCAGAAACACCAACAATGGAGGGACGAAGTTTGGAGTCAATTTACGTGATGTCAGCAGAGTCTGCATATGTAAACAGGACGAGAAAAAATGAGACATCAGATCTATGGCACATGCTATTAGGTCACATTAGTTATTCCAAGCTAAGTGTGATGGTGAAGAAGTCGATGCTTAAGGGGCTTCCTCAACTAGACGTGAGAACAAAAATGGTCTGTGCGGGATGCCAGTATGGTAAAGCACATCAATTACCATATAATGTGTCAAAGTTTAAAGCAAAAGAACCGTTGGAGTTGGTTCACTCTGATGTGTTCGGACCAGTTAAGCAACAGTCAATTAGTGGTATGCGAGACATGGTAACATTCATTGATGACTTCTTCAGGTATGTGTGAGTTTTCTTTATAAAAAGACAAATCTGACACATTCTCAAAGTTTAAAGAGTTCAGAGACTTAGCTGAAGGAGAAGTGGGAAAGAAAATATGTTTCTTGCGCACAGATAACAGAGGAGAATATAGATCAAACGAGTTCTCTCAAAACCTAAGGGAGTGTCGAATACGTCATCAGTACACTTGTGCCAACACGCCACAACATAATGGTGTAGCAGAAAGAAAAAACCGGCATCTTGCAGAAATTTGTCGAAGTATGCTACATGCAAAGAACGTACCTGGAAGGTTTTGGGCTGAAGCAATGAGGACTACAACCTTTGTGATCAACAGACTTCCTCAACCAAGGTTAGGATTTGTTTCACCCTTTGAGAAACTATGGAACATAAAACCTACTGTTAGCTACTTTCGAGTATTTGGTTGTCTATGTTATGTGTTTGTTTCTGATCATTTACGGAGCAAATTTGACAAGAAAGCTGTTAGATGTATCTTTGTGGGATATAACAGCCAGAGAAAAGGGTGGAAATGTTGTGATCCAATTAGTAAAAGATGCTACACGTCACGAAATGTGGTATTTGATAAAGCATCTTCTTGGTGGTCCTCAAAGAAGGAGGTGTTGCCAGATTCGAGAGAATTTAGAGACAAGCTACAACAAAAGATGGGGGAGCATGTTGTTCAACTCCAAACAAGTTCATATGAATCAGAAGATCCAAATGGCGATGATTTCGAACAAAGAGTGACTCAGAATCCTTGGCAAACTGGCGTGTATCAACAACCAAACGAAGAATGAGGACCCATTGAAACAGAAGAATCAATTCCACAATCTCAACTCCGAAGGTCAACAATAATACGAAGGCCAAATCCCAAATATGCCAATGCAGCCATAATTAAAGAAGTAATAGATTTAAAATTTTATAAATTAAATTAATGATGTTTATTGTTAGTAGTGCTCATTGTTACTCGTCGAACGTGACAGACTCATCCTTAATAATTAAAATATTGACTCAATTTGGCGTCAAGAGTTAATTGGGTACCAATTTAGTTATGGGTAAACTACACGTGAGACCACTAAACTATGGTAAATAATCAATGTGACCACCGAACTTTTGATTGAATCAATCAGACCACCCAACATTTAATTGATTCAATCAAATCATCGGCCGTTAATTTTTAATAGAAGTGGTGATGTGTTCGTTAAGCTTAATTGGTATAATTATATATTTGGTACTTAATATTTACATATTCTATCAATTTAGTCACTATTTTAATTCAATTAAATAAATTTAACTATCCAATTAGAAGGTGACACGTGTCAATATATGATTGAAAGTTTTTATTTATGAATTTTAAATTAAATATTAAATAATTTTTCTATCCAATGGAAGTGAAAATTAAAGGGACAAGTTGTGCTCCAAGGGATTTGAATCAGGGTCACCAGGGGGTGAGGGGAGGTATAGAGCAGGCGCCCAAACCATTGGGCTAAAGGTTCCAATGCTTTAAAGTTACAACAATTTGTATTTGTCTTTTAAATGTTTGTTAAGGGTAAAATATTAAACAAATTATTATTTAAACAAATTCTTATTTAAACTAATTGTAAAATGTTTTTTTAATTAAAAATATTAAATTTTTATATAAATTAGAAAATTTTAAAAAATTTCGTTAATTTGAAAATTGACCGAATTAACCGAAGTTTGTTCGGTTCGGTTAATAATTTTTAAATAAATTTTGATTCGATTTAATTAAATAATTTTTCTATCCAATGGAAGTGAAAATTAAAGGGACAAGTTGTGCTCTAAGGGATTTGAATCAGGGTCACCAAGGGGTGAGGGGAGGTATAGAGCAGGCGCCCAAACCATTGGGCTAAAGGTCACAATGGTTTAAAGTTACGACAATTTGTATTTGTATTTTAAATGCATGTTAAGGATAAAATATTAAACAAATTTTTTTGTTTAAACAAATTATTATTTAAATTAATTGTAAAATGTTTTTTTAATTAAAAATATTCAATTTTTATATAAATTAGAAAATTTTTAAAAAATTTCTTTAATTTGAAAATTGACCGAATTAACCGAAGTTTGTTCGGTTCAGTTAATAATTTTTAAATAAATTTTGGTT